AAGAAACCAATAAAAGAAATAGAAATAATGAATATTATATTGAACATGGATTATGGAGTTGATGCTGGAATATAGACAGGAGTTAGGCATAAGGCAATCTTTTAAGTTGCCGGATCACTGCAGTATATTTCACGCTTAAGTCTTTGCTATTGCGATAGCCGCGAAGCTGGCCTCCAATATATCTCCAGCCAAATCCAGAGCCAACATCAACATAGACAGCCTAGCAGAAATCAAGACAGTAACCTCGTATCGCATATCAGAAGTGTTAGCGGGAGTAAGCAACTACACTTCTACTGGGTGAAGGGCCACAAAGTTTCGAAGCCAATGAAATAGTGGATGAGAGAGACAAAGCAATGGTGTACGACTAACATCCGAAAACGTGATTAACATTGGGAAAACTTGCATTTTCTATAGGAAAAACTTGACATAAGCACGGTAAACAATATCAACACTCAATGGACTGAGCTACCTGGGGCAAAACTGCAAAAGTCGCTAGATAGGAAGAACACAAAACTTCTATTGGCACTCCATAGAAGAGACTGTAGGGACATGATGGGTGTACTAACTGGTCACTGCCTGGTGGGGACACACGCCCGCAGAATGGGGTTGACGATCGAGAAGACTACAGGAAATGTGTAGAACATTAAACCAAGAAAATAATGGAGCGTATCTTGTGCACTTGTCCCGCATTCGCAAGACTATACCGTAAGCATCTATGGTCCCCACGGTATGATACACTTGAGGAGGTATCGATAGTAAATGCCGCAGAGTCGGTTAGAAGTTCGTGTCAAGCGCAGGAATCCTAAAGGATGACTACTACTCTTGTCCCTAGCAACTAAACTCCATTTGACATCACAAAAGGAATCTTAGTTCTTTTACATTTTTGCTGTGTAAACACTCCCCGMAATTAAATTATAAGGAAGTAGCATTGTCTAGAACAGAGCTCTGTGACCTTGCGAAAGTCAATTGGAACTTTTGCCTGCAAACAATAATGAAGTAGTAAAACAGGCATACCCCTGCACATATCTACGCTGACTAATAAAATATTTATGTGCAAGCACATGGCACAACACACACGGGGCGTCATAAACTACTTTGTTAGTGAGCTTATGCCCGCTTTTTCCGCCATTTTTTGAAGYGAAACTATATATATTTATGTGAAATGGGGACTGCATAATATGAGCATAAAAGCGATTTAGCTGGAAAAAGGTTACCGCTAGCGAAATGAACGCTAAAAGCACCGTTCAACATGCGATGTGGCAGGAAGCGCTGATTCAAAGTCACAGCGGAGGCAATAAACTTTGCATAAATATGTTTATATCTATAAGTGAGATATATTAAACATGTATGTGTGTGGCATGTGGCAGCTCGTAAAAACAAACTATGCGCGTGCAGCTGATTTGTGTGCAAAGGTAAGTGAAAAGCCTTCAAGGACAATGCTTGCTGGCTGCCAATACAACTCATAAGGCGAAGAAGTTCGCGGCCGTCCGACAGTCTAGCAAAGTTTTTGCGCTGCTGCACCCCGTTGTGTGACAAGCTGCCATCAGCAGCGCCGTAACGGTAACTCTTGCGAAGTTACTGTGTACTTTTATGTTTGTGTGTGTATCATATATATGTATATTGGTGTGTGACCCTTCACAGGCAGCGCGAATATTCGCAAATTATTCAGCTCCTSAGTTCCTCTGCCTGTGTGTGGCACATTTTCAAGGTCTCGCTGACTGCCTAACTGTCTAGCAGCGTTGTTATTGTGCTGGTTTTTGTGTGTGTTCGTGGCAAAAGGGAAATGGAAAGTGAAATTTATTTTATAATTTCTTGCCAAGGGCAAACAGGTAAATGAAATTCACCATACCACGTACAAGGAAATATACAGTAAATGTACAGCTTTATAGATAYATTTGTTTGTATGTATGTGTGTCTGTATTTTGCTTTCATTTTAGTGACAGCTTTTCACTTTGTACCATCATTACGGCTCAATGAATGCGMATGAAAACGAGGCACAGAATGAATTATGGCCTAAACGAGCGGCAAGTTTGCAATGCGACCCCCAAATGTATGCTACGATATATGAACGCTTGTTTGAAGGTGTGTGACAAACAAAAATGTGTGCGGAGCAATGTAGATGTCTTGAAATTGACAGGGCATAACTTAATACTCACAAATATTTCCCCTCTAAAAAGTACATTTAAACATAAATATAAATGTGTATATAATATAAGTATGTGTCTATATATATATATATATATTTATATTTATATTTATATGGCTGTCTCTTATACACATCTAGATGTGTATAAGAGACAGGTCTTGTAATTTTATTATATTTTTTTAGCAGGATAACTCCTTAAAAGATCATGTAAAGTGAAAAAATATCTGTTTTAG